ACCACGGCAACCCAATCATCAGACGGAATCACATCCACCACGGCAGAGACGTGGGAGTTTTTACATTTGACCACGGCATGGTGAGATTCACTTTACTGATGGTTTTATGTTGTGTATGTTTGTCAGCCACTAAATTGTATGAGAAGAAATTCAAATGTACAATATGTAGTAGCCAAATAACACTAGTGCAGATAAACTAGGTGAAAAACATAAAACAACATGATGATGGTGCACTTATACATATAAGCTGAAAAACCACTTTGATGGGCTTATAATAGGTTTGTCATTCTCTGTTTCCAGGGTTACTTTGAGAGCTGTAACATCCATAGGAACCGTATAGCCGGCTTTGAGGTGAAGGCATACGCCAATCCGACAGTGGTTCGTTGTGAGATCCATCATGGTCAGACAGGAGGCATCTACGTGCATGAAAAGGGTCGCGGCCAGTTCATTGAAAACAAGATCTTTGCGAATAACTTTGCAGGCGTGTGGATCACTTCCAACAGTGACCCCACAATACGGTCAGTATGAACTGAAAGTCTTGAGCTCAAATCAGGTCAGCATTCAAATCTATCCGATTATTCAGGTTCTCAAATTTGTTGTTCTGTCCAAAACAGGGGCAATGCCATTTTTAATGGTAACCAAGGTGGAGTTTATATTTTTGGTGATGGCCGAGGCCTCATTGAAGGAAACGACATCTATGGTAACGCCTTGGCAGGAATCCAGATCAGGACAAATAGCTGCCCTATTGTCAGGCACAACAAGATTCATGATGGCCAACATGGAGGAATATATGTGGTAAATATTTCTAAAAATATTGTTTTGCATATTTAAGGGTTTTTCACTCCAGCTTTCTTATTTTTATTATGAGGTGAAACCATTTGTTTCTGTGCCATGCAGCATGAAAAAGGACAAGGAGTCATTGAGGAGAATGAGGTGTACAGCAACACACTGGCAGGAGTGTGGGTTACAACGGGCAGTACGCCAGTGCTGAGGAGGAACAGGATACACAGCGGGAAGCAGGTCAGATCACAGGCTACTTAGTACACCTAGAGGGATGTATATTGTTCATCTGATCATAATGGTCATAATTCTGATGTCATGAGATCACAAAGTTCCATCTAAGACCAACTTGATATCCTGTGAATTAAAAAAAGATGGATAAAGGAATAAACCAGATTTATGTACAAGCACATTATGAATCACTAAATTAAAGCCAATATATTTTCATTGCCATTTTAACAGGTTGGAGTTTACTTCTATGACAATGGCCATGGTGTGCTTGAAGACAATGATATCTACAATCACATGTACTCTGGAGTTCAAATAAGGTTTGTGTAACATGACAAATAATAATAAGTAACATAAGCAAGATTCACCTGAGCGATGTCCTGATGTTAGGGTGGTCTGGTAGAGTGGTATTGAAGCAGCTGCTCACTTTTCCATTGTGTCCTCCCTCCCCAGGACGGGCAGCAATCCTAAGATCAGACGGAACAAGATCTGGGGAGGCCAGAATGGCGGCATTTTGGTTTACAACTCAGGTGAGAAGAGGAGATTTTTCCGTCTTATTGTTCTCTTTATTGCCATAGTTAATATACTGTTTAAACAATATTGCCTCAATAACAAAACATCCATGTATATGTTCTCTAGGCTTAGGTTTCATCGAGGACAATGAGATCTTTGACAATGCAATGGCAGGTGTGTGGATAAAGACAGACAGCAACCCCACTCTGCGGAGGAATAAAATCCACGACGGTAGAGATGGCGGGATCTGTATATTCAACGGAGGAAGAGGTAACCGATTTATTACAGAAAGGAAGTGGAGTAAATATTCAAGTGGTTAAAAAGTAGTGTAGATCCAATTTGGCTTTATAATATTAGGAAATTCAGACCTAAATTAATGTAATCCTCTCTTTTGGTATGTTAGTGAATTGTCAGATTAAAAGTCCATTTTCTGTTATTAGGTTTGCTAGAGGAGAATGACATTTTCAGAAATGCCCAAGCGGGGGTCCTCATTAGCACCAACAGTCACCCAGTACTGCGGAAAAACAGGATATTTGATGGCTTCGCTGCAGGTGGGTAATGCATGCACACTAGCTTTAATAGCTCATGATGAGATGCTTGAATTTAATTATTGTGGACTTTCAACATTGCTGTGTCTTTTGAAAATTGATTATTCTTATTTGTTTATGTAAAACTAGGTATTGAAATCACCAACCATGCCACGGCGACTCTAGAGGGCAATCAGATCTTCAACAATCGTTTTGGGGGGTTGTTTCTTGCGTCTGGTGTCAATGTTACAATGAAAGGTACAGTATTAGTGGCAAAGATTTTTAAATATTATTGAATAAAAATGCAGAAATCTCATAATGGATCAAAACATCATCGTACAAATTTCTGTTTCCTCCAGATAATAAAATATTGAACAATCAAGATGCCATTGAAAAAGCTGTGAGCAGAGGTCAGTGCCTGTACAAGATTTCAAGTTACACCAGCTACCCAATGCACGATTTTTACAGGTAAACTTTTTTTCACCTCTCGCACTCAAAAATAACCTCAGCTATTTTTGTTTGTGATTGTTAAAAAAACACACCTTGGGTTTCCATAGGTGTCACACTTGTAACACAACAGACCGCAACGCCATTTGCGTGAATTGTATCAAGAAGTGTCACCAAGGACATGATGTAGAGTTCATCAGACACGATAGGTAAGTCTGACTGATGCAAGCTAGTAAACAGAACAAACTAAATACACCCTGGATGTAAATGGATGACAGACTGGCTTGTTGGTGCCTTCCTTTGAAGCTCCCCACTTTAGACCAGAGTGAAAGTGCAGAAGCAGAACACAGCATTCACAAAACAAGGAATAATTGCTGCTCTTTCTTTCTCCCTGCATGGCACACGCGCGCGCACACACACACACACACACACACACGCACAGCAGAGGAAAACAGCAGCACTGTTTCTCATGATGGTGGATATCAATAAGCTGCAGCAGATCACTGCTGTTTCAGTGTATTTTATAATGCAAGCTTGGCTTAACCTGCCACATCTTTATTTGCTGATGTAGGGATACCATCTCCGAGACAAATAGCTTGCTGCTAAGTGCACTGATAATTAATTCAAATAAGCAGATTTTGGCTAAGATACAGACAGTGGTAGGAGGAATTGAATGAAGAGAAACAAAACTAGTCTGTCTGCTTGATGGTAAAGAGAATAATGTGCATGCTCGCTTGCAAGAAGCTTGGGGTCTGATTACACTGTTTAATTTTTTACTAGTCACAGATGTATAGAGGCATATTAAATACAATATAGTGTACTCTCTTCTCTGTTTTCGGGGACCAAACATAATTACTTTTTCTCCTCCGTCTCTGCCTACAGATTCTTCTGTGACTGTGGTGCTGGGACGCTGTCAAATCCTTGCACGTTAGCAGGAGAGCCGACACATGACACAGACACTCTGTATGACTCAGCTCCCCCTATAGAGTCCAATACACTGCAGCACAACTGAGCTCAAGTCCCGAGGTGCTTCTGCGCTTCAGCAGTAATGGACATATAAGACACTTTAAATTGTGCCGTGGAAGAGCAATTCCAAACTAAAACACAGATTCACTTTGGCAAAAATATACAGTGACTTTAAAAAGTAAAACAAAAAAAGACTTGCGACCCGGATCTTCTAAAAGGAGACATTTAGAAAAAGGTGATTATGGATGCCTCACATTTTCTTTTCCTTACATTTTTTGACAAAAGATGACATCAGTGGGACAGAGCAGAAGAGCAACTGATTCGGGATTTGTAGGTCTGTTGATTTGGTCAAGTAAATGATGCCGGTGAGAGTTGGACAAAATCCACCGAGGCTTATCTGCTTTTGGGAAGCGGATGATTGAGATACTGCAGTGTACAGATCCAACATGGAGAGTCAGTCAGAAGAGGCTACAGCTCGTCTCATGAAAAGGCAAAAGCCCCCAAATACAACAATGCTTCCATCTTTGGGCAACCGATGTGCTCGTATGATATGTACGGGAAAAATGACCTAGCACTTCAGCATTTTTTTTTCTTCTTCAAGACAACTGTTGAGATTTGATTTTAATGCTTTTTTTTTGTGTAGTTTTGTATTTTCATGCAAAAATCTTACTGTACTTGAATGTCTTTATTTTATTAAATGTGTTTTAATTTTTTTTTGTTATTATACCCTAGAATTGCTGTAATTATACTCATGTCGCAGTATCTAACTTCTTTCTGTGAAAGAGATCAGAGACAAGAGAGGAAAACACTAAACACTTTCTCCAGCAATGTTGACTCCTTTACACTTGCAATACAGAAAAATTAGATGTGTAATTGTGCTTTCACAAGACTTGTATATCTTCTTGTGTTTGTTGATGATATTCCAGTCTGCTTTACATGATCTATGCATATTTTTTGGTTTAGTATCTGTTGGCCTGTCACCATTACTTTAAAGACCAGGCAGTACAGATTTACATGTGACTGCATCTTGATTGGAAATTAACCCATGATAAGCTAATTAATACAGGTTTCTTTTTAATAATCTCTGGCCCTGGTCAGCATTTGACAATAAAATGACCTGATGCCATTTAGTCTGTTACTTTGTGAATCGATCTCAGTTCAGTAGGTAATCTAGACACAGGTGTCTTTTTCGTTACCATCGCAGGCACGGATGCTGTTTAACAGCCCATTAGGATACAAATTCTGGCTTCCTTTGTCCTCCAAATGAAAGAGCAGTCTTATGAAAGCATAAGTTTTGATGCGTTTTTCCATTGTTTGCCAATGTTGCTGGAGAATTTAAAGAGGCTTTTACTCTACTGAAGCTGAGACAAGTATCTATATACAGCGCTTTATTGGTTTTATTGCCCCCTTCCCCCAATTCATGTGTACTGGTGATTGTGGGTTCTCATACAGACTGAAATGTATGCATGTATCATAACATCTAGACTTAATATATTGTGAAGTATTCAATAACCGTTATGTAGGCGCTAGCGTGAATTAAAAGGGTTTAATTTCCTAGATGAAACATTGTCATTTTTTAAAAATAAACTTTATTAGATCAATTCAGTAGTGTTTTTTTAATGACAAGAAAACAAAACAAAATGCATTGAACTTTTACCAACATTTTACAGAGTACTGAGCAGTTGAATGAGGGAAGTGAAACGGGTGCTGTCCAGTGTAGCGTCCTCAGCAAACTGGCACAGCTTCCTATATGAGGGGACAGGAGGGAACATAAGTAACCATGCTCTGACTTTAACAGATCAGCATTGTGTGTCACTGTAGTATCCGCAGAATAACTGACGCGAAACAATAATACGTACTTGAAAAGTCTGAGATTGACGGTGCTTTTCTCAAACTCTCTGGCCTTCCTGTGTCCTGACTGGATAACTTCCTCTGGTAGGTTGGCGAGTCGAGCAGCATTGAATCCATAACTCTTAGGACACGCACCCGTTATGAACTTGTAGAGGAAAGTGATGGTCTCTTGACTTGGATCCACACACTCATTCTCCACCATGCACGCCTGAAGGGGGGGTGAAAGGGAAACATGATACTTAAAACCCACAAACCGACTGCATTAAGAAAAAAATAAATAAACAACAACTAGTAAATCCTCCGGGTTTGAAAAATAAATCATTGCCTCCTGCTGTTCCCCCTAATGAACAGCAGGAGGCAATTTTGGTTGTAAAAAGTCCGAAATGAGCTGCCATCCTCCTTTATGACCCGACTAAACACTTTTGCTAATGAGTTGATAAGAACTAAATGAGACCTTCATCCAATTTATGACTTATCCCTCCCTCAGTTGTCATGCCTTGACAACTAAAAGGCTCAACCTGAGGTTTCATAACAAATTTGCATACCAAAGCTGTTTACAGTAATGCCACCATAGTGCACATTATATACTATACACTAAAGCAACACAGACTAACAAACCGTAAATATCGGTGTCTGAGCAATTGTATGAAACTTGCCGTGCACAATTTGAAACAATCAAATTCCGGTGAGTTCAAAATTTCTTTATTTCTTCAGTTTATTTATACAGTGACGAATCACAACAACAGTTGCCTCAAGGGGCTTTATATTGTAAGGTAGACCCTACAATAAACCTTACAATTTTTTGCACCATGTTACTAAAACAGCAAAATGTGAAGAGCAGGAAGCTGCCGGTTGCGGCTAGGGCTCCAGGCATGCAGCTGTGCTCGAAGAGCAGATGTAGCCACAAACTGCTGGCACTAAAGGTTTTTGCTTTCATTTGTCTTGTACATAACCTCATTAATGCACTCTGAAAGCAAGAACTAATTTAATACTGGATACTTGGGGCACACACACTAAAGACACACACAGACCCATTAAAAAACAAAAAAAAAGCTGCAAGGCTGTGAAGAATTTAAATAAAAACAGAATGCAATAATCATTTAAATATTATATTTGACATTAATGTATAAAAATATAGCCTCATTTATTTATTTCAGGATTCATTTTCTTGCAAAATGTACTATTTGTCTTTTTATTACAGTCCTAAATGACTTTGCATTGTATCAAGTGTGATTAGCCTTGCTGTACTCACCATGTGGCCCAAACGCACGGCAGGGTTGTTGGCATAATCCTCCACCAGGGAGTGGTAATGTGTAGAGAAGAGAGTGCGACAGCAGATCTTCTCAGCAAGCTCCTTTACAACAGCGCTGGCGATTGCTGTGCCATCATATGTGGCTGTGCCCCTTCCTGCAAGCAGTTCACAGCTCAGTGATTACACCACAACAATATTGTGCTGAGAATACAGTCTATGCTATCCACCAATCATGTGAATAAGCTTTAATAAGCAAACTAAATAAATGCTTACCCAATTCATCCAGAAGCACAAGTGAGTGTTTAGTGGCATGGCGCAGGATGCTGGCAGTCTCACTCAGCTCCACAAAGAAGGTGCTTTCTCCTGTAGAGCACAGAGTTGAAAATACACCCTCAGCTCATGAAGCACAAGCTCAGATCATTATTCCTAATATGTTAAGAGTCTCTGATGTTACCAGCCATGATACGATCTGAGGCGCCCAGCCGAGTGAAGACCCTGTCAACTGGTGTGAAGCGGAGGCTCTCAGCTGGAATGTAGCTACCCAGCTGGGCAAGAATGATCACGAGTCCACACTGTAAAACAGGAGCAGCACGTTATCTTAATATGGACCAACTAAGACTGCAAATACACCATCTATGTAGACTGTGGAAAAAAAAACATATGAAATTGTATGTATACATTTATACATATAGTCAAAAATACCCACTTGTCTCATTAGAGTAGACTTTCCACCCATGTTTGGCCCTGTGACGAGGACACAAGAGGCCAGACTGTCATCTTCACTATTTTTACCGGTGCCAGGGCAGCCAATGAAGATGTCATTAGGAATGAAGTCGTCGCCAAAAAAGGTCTTGGTGACACAGGGATGACGGGATCCCTTGAGGTCAATGAAGGCTGCAACCTGGGCGTCATCCTCGGGAAGCACGACCTCTGCCCTGGCCATAGGCCCGTCGCCGCCCTGGCTGTAGCGAGACAAGGCCAGCAGCACATCTGGGGACAAAAAAAAGGGACATACATAAAAAAGAAGTACTGAGCATTTAATTATTTACATTTAAGAACTAAAAAAAATGCACATATTAAATGCATGTCTTATAGGTCTGCTTTGCTACAATAAAATTAATAAAACCAAATCTGTGGCTGGGACGTGTCTCAGTGGTACAAACACTTTCAGAAATCAAAAACTATGCAATAATCTAAATAACTGCAAACATCAACATATAATTTCCCTGAAACAGAGACTTATCCAAGGTGTAAAACAAATGAACTTACTTCTAACAAGCCCTCAGACTGGTGCAACATCATTATTTAAAAAACACAGTATGACAGTTTCTCTGCAACATCTGCAGGAAATGTACTGAGTACAGACCGGTGTAATGAAAACCAAAACAACACAAATTACATATCGAAAAGATGAAGAAAACTTCTGTAGTTAAAAAAAAAGCTTTTTAATTAAAAAAAAAAATCAAAACAAAAAAAAAGGATTGTTACCAAGCACTGCCATGCACTCCACAGCAGTCTTCCAGTCACTGTAGTTCTTGTCAAAGTTATAGAAGAGCCTCCTCATGCAGTCTTTGAGTGCAGCATCTCTCTTCTCCTCAAATCCTTGCAGCTCTGAGAACATCCGTTCACTCTTCTTTGTCACATAACGCTTCCAGCCTTTCTTTGTAGACTTTAACTCATACTCGTCAGGGATATCCCTCTCCGAGACGCTGTCAGGAACCTCCATCTGATAGCGATTTTTCCCAGTTCCCCAGAAGTACATGTTTTTACAGCCAAGTCTCTTCTTCTGTTTGTCCAGGTAATCCAGCAGCTCTTGTTCACAGTTCTTGATTCCAGTCAGAGCCTGGTCGTACTCCGGGTCAAAGCCAGCTTTGGGGGTTATTACTCCAGTAGTGCGGGCTTTCTGGTGGTCAAAGGCAGTGTCCCAGCGTTTGAGTTCACCAGAGAGGTCGGGAAAGAGGCCGTTCTTTTCGCTATTCAGGCTGATAGCTTGACAAAGCAACGTGGAACGAAACTCGCCTGAAACTGGAGCAAAGAGAGAAACGATGTCCTGCATCATTTTGAAACCTTCCAGTGCTGAGAGGAAGTCTACTATCTTGCGCTTGCTGTAGGTCACTTCCTCATAGAGAACTGCTCGGCTGTCAGGGTGGTCCTGGCTCTTCAGAGGTGTCCCGATACTGTGGATTTTGCTCAGCAGGCGCTCTAGATCTGGAAGTTTTTTTAGAAGGTCTGAAACCTCAGTAGCCTGGGCTTGAGCTCCCATCAGGTCCTCCACTGCATCCAGTCTGTCCCTGATAGATGTGGGGTTACACAGAGGAGCGCAGAGCCACTGCTTCAGAAGCCTCTTTCCAAACGGAGTAGAGCAGGTGTCCAAACGCTCCAGCAGTGTCCCTTCTGTTCCTCCTGACCCATTCTGAAAGATTTCCAAGTTTGCCAGAGTCATTCCATCAAGCACCATACGCTGGCAAGTCTTGGCAAAGAAACTGGCGGGTCCTGCAGCTTTCTCCATCTCAACATCAACTGGGACATATTCTTCAAAGTTAGCCATGGAGAGCAGCTCTTGGTCCACCAAGCATTTCTTCAGGTAGAAAATGCATCCACCCAAAGCGGACAGTGCTAGTTCATAGCCCTCCTTAGGAGTAAGGCACAGTGAATCACTCTCAGATGTCATCTCTTTTAGAAGAGTGGGGAGAAAGCTGCTCCCAGTCCCCTCCTCCTTGCCAGTTGCCTCTTTAAAATAATCTTCTTCTGAGAGGGTTTTCAGAGTCTTCTGAGCATCCCAGAACTGTGTTCCTGCGTTAAGTCCTTCCTGCAGAGCAGAGGACAGAGAGGCTTTGAGTATTTTGCGAGTTTCAACAGATGGGTTTCCTTTCTCAAAGAGCACCTCAGCGGGGGCATAGTGTGCTATGAGCGTACGCAGGCGTGAGCAGTGACGATCGTCTGAGAACTGACCGACATGAAAACAACCGACTGATGTATCAATAAAACAGACTCCATATGTGCGGCAGCGGCCGGAGCTTTCTTCTTCAGCCTTTTCTTTCAAACTCAGGAGGAACTTGCTCTGGCTTTCTGAAGGAGCACCATCCAACACACTGTAGGTTTGGGTACCACGTGTGATAATCCTGCACACTTCTCTTCTCACTACACGGTCTAATTTAGTGGGCTTGAGCATTGTCTTACAGCGCGCTTCCATCATATCTGGGGTCTCTGTCTGCTCAACACGAGCCACTTTGTAGCCTTTCTGCACCAGTACATCTGAGAAACGTCCAAAGCCAATCTCTGGAAAACCAGAGTGCGCCCAAGTCCCCTTCATGAATGTCAGTCCCAGCTCGTTGACTCCAATCACAGCATCCATGTGGTACAGCTCATAAAACTTTCCCACCTTGTAGAAAATCACTGTATCAAACATCTCAGATTTGAGCTGCCACCACCGACGTATACCAGGAGTGATTTGATTCATAAAGTCATTTGGCACATACAAGGTGCTACGATCATAGTCATCATCTGTCTGTCGCCGCCGTTTGCTGTCTTTTCTCTTGCCGTCCTGCAACCACTCCAGTTTCTCATGATCCCAAACTGCCCCTGCAGTGGAGCCTGATCCAGTCGCCTGGCTCTCAAAGCTCTCGGGAGCAGAGAAGGCTGACAAACGAGATTTTGTGTCAGTTGCAACTGCTGCTGGAGCTCTTTTAGGTGCAACAGATGGAGCAGTAGGTGTCTTTGCTTTTGTTTTAGCCGACTTTTCTGCAGGACGTTTGCGCTTGACAGGCTTGACAGGGCTTTCCACGTCTGACCTTTCGGTGCTCTCTTCTTTCTCTTCACAGCTTTCCTCCCCTCGTTCCTCTTCATCCTCACTGCTGGACGCAGCGTGTTCTGGTTTGAACTCCTCATCGGAGCCGTCACTATCTGAGGCCGCAATAATGCGACGGCGCTTGGCTTTGCTTCCTTTTTCCATTAATGCACAGAATAAACGTGTACTGACTTTGGATGGCTTCGGGGCTTCGCTTTCATACTCATCACTGCCCTCTTCATCAGTCACTAAGCTGTCAAGCTGAAAAAAAAGAATAAAATATAAATTAAAAAAAAAAACTTGCATTACTGACCAGTAATGATAAGCTGATAATTACACCATGCGACTAAGGCTGCTGCCCTGGGAATAACATTACTTTTAATATTACAGGAGAATTTAGACTTCATGACCACACTGGTGAAATATTATATTCAGAAATTATCGGGTAACCTCCATTTCTTCATCATCATCCTCTTCTGCATCAGATGGGTCCGTGCAGAGAGGTATCTTTAATCTTTTTTCTGGGCTGTCAAACATAACTCCATCAGCCAGCTCCATTGCACGACGGATTACAGGTTTTCCACAGAAGTAGACTCCTCCAGGTTTAGCATCACTGCTGTCAGAGCCTGTGCAAATCATACAAAGAAATTCCAGCTTACTCTGAGCAGACAGCAGCAGCAACAATGGCCCCAAAATGGATGCAAGCCACTGATGCACTTGCAACTAGGAACAACCAACCTTGGTACTCTCTGACTCTATTAGAGCTGACCCATCCTCTTGTTGGAGGTTCATCAAAGAAATGAACGTGTATGCGCTGGTCACGACCACGGCCCCTCATCTCCTGCCCAGTCAGAGGCTGGGGTACCACCATGCACGGCCACCAGGGGTGCCCTTCCATTTTTGCCCACACAAGGGCACCAGCACTGAATAAGCATGGAGGGCTGCTGAGGATAAGAAGAACAAAGACACTTTCACACATCTTTCAATGTTGTAAAAATTACGTTTAAACGTGACTCATTGTGTGTTACAGTCGATCTCTTGAATGGAGTGGAAAAGCAACACCACAACACCAGCTTGGACCTTTATTAGTCCAACATGCCCCTCTTAAATATAATAATCAGTTTAAAATAGTAAAACAGAGGTGCAGGAAAGACAAAAGCAGTTGCAATTCACTTGTGATAACTCGGTTTTGCAAATCCTTTTATCTTAAAAGCGCACACGGCCACATGTCAAAAATCATTTCCCCCTATCGTCGGTAGGGGTGTGGTGCCCACTTGAGATGGCCCAAACAGTCTAAACTATGATAGAAGATAGTGATAAGTCCACACACCCACCACTTTGATAAATACAGGCATTAGCATTGATTTGACCCAACAGCCAGCATTGTTCTGCTCGAGTCACCCCCAATTTCACGTGTCCGTAGCACAAAGGAAAGGTCACACTACATTTTCTTTATTTATTTTCTGTCAGCTCTCGTTTTAAGCGGTCTTAATACCTTAATTTAAAAAGAGAACTTACGCTGGTGTTTCCGGGGGTCTGCAAACAATTTTAGCACAGGGAAGGAAAACTGTACGAAACCCGACTCCAGCAACTACACGGCTCCCAAACTCACTCACCTTTCTTTGGTTGTTTGGGCCTTGTCGCCAAATAGTTTCTTGAATCCTCCGCTCGCTGGCTTGGACTTACTTTCCTTCTTAGCTTTGTTGGTGTCTTTTGTCTGCAGCGGAGTCTGTTGTGCTTGCTCTTTCGGAGAGGAGCTGGACTTCTCTACAGAGGAAGGCAGGTCTGCCTCCGCCGGGGAAGGACTCGGCTTCGGTTTGGCGACTAGCGGCGGAGACTTGGAGAAGAAATTAAAGAGCGAGCTTTGCTTCGCCATGTGTGCGAGTTGAAAGTCTGTTTCCCTGTGTTTGTATTTTAAATAACTCCAACGACAACCACCCCCAACCTTTCTGCACCAGCTAGCGTATAGCTAGTGAGCTTCACGGCGCAAACGCAAGCAGTTCGCGGGAAACACGCACGGGGTGTTGTGGGCGTGGACAAAAGCCTCGTCCAATGATGAGTTAGCATACTATAATGTGGGAATCACGTGACCCAAACACAACTTTTGTTGTTGGCCATGCTGTTGGCGCCCAGAGGTCTTTTTCTTTTTTCTCTCTAAACTTTATTTCCAGGAGGATAAGTACAAATTACACTGTCATGTAGACACTCAGCACTGTCATTTATTGGAATAAACCACTGTCTTTGTTGTGTTTATAAAATGTGGAGGGAAAGAAACAGTAAATGATATGAGAATTATATGTCTTATTTGTCACATGAAGTAGTTCTGCAAGGGTTACTGAACCCAAGAGCTCCAGATGTTCCTTTGCTCTCAGAGAGTAATCAGAATGAGATGTAAAATTAGTGCAGACAAAGAAAACAACTACATCTGCACATCTACAACATGCATACACAGTTTGAAACACAATGTTTAGATATACTTAGACTTATGCGTGTTCATGTGTGGGGATCTAGCTGCTCTTTGGGAGTCGTACTCCAGCAAACATGACCTTTTGGGCAGTAGACACAGGTGTGGTCCCAGAGGAGCAGCCCAATAAGTAGGCTTCCCAGAGCATGCTCACAGTCATGATGTTGGCTGAAAACCCATAAAAGAGACCCAAATGGCAAAACTGTTGTGTGCCTTGCATGGACTAACCCACATTAGGACCACGGTTCACCTGCACCCAGTCGGCCCACAATAGCCATGCTCATACTTGAAGATAGTGAACAACATGTCTGCTGAGATTTTCTCTTTATCATGACTGTTGCAGCACTCTTACAGATTTACTTCCATAGATGCACAAGTAAATACATGTTTAAATACAATATTTAAAAATAACTCTTGAGTTTGAATAAGCATTATGAGCTCTCACAAAAGGACTTTAAGCTAGCCTGTTGCTCTTAATGTACCCTTGCCTACTTACTTATGCAGTACTAAAGAATTGTTTTTCTTAAATAGACCCATTAAATAGAAAATAGACCTATAAAATGTATTAAATAGGTCTGGCTTTAATATATTTAGGCCAAATGTAAATGCCAAAATGTTTGAATGAGACCAAAGTGAAGATGGATGAGAAAATGGACCTGTATCTAAATGAAAACAGAAAAACGATTCCCTTTGTTCCCGGTCATGAACTTTGAGAGTGCTTGTTATGGTTATATGACCCATAAAAGATAGAATAAGCAGTAAGCAGTAAGCACTAAGCATCTCCCTAAGGATATAAAATAAAGATAAAATAGGACCTTGCTATTATTTATGGCATGGGTTATATGTGGGCAGAAGTAGCCTAAAGATTAAGGCATTCCTATTTAGAGTAGGTTTCTTTAGGGCCTCATTAAATCATTCTTTTAGTCAGCAGTCAAAAATGCCTGACGATGCAGGAAATTAGGCTTTCTGCATGAGTGCAGATTAGTATTGTAGTTTTGTTAATCTGTTATCTCTAATCTGCACTAGTCATTTACCACCAGCAGAGAGCAGCATAATACTGAAAGCCTCATAATAGCTTCTATATACAATTCTTACAATGTAACTCTAATATGGCATTAAATATATTCAGGATTCATAAACTATATTTCCTAACATCATGTTCGACACATTTTGATTGACGATTTTAGGTTGCACTCTAAATTCTACACACTTTGATCCATATAAAAGCAAGGTCTGTACTCTTAAAGCAGATGAGGAATGAGCACAGTCACGAGCCTTGTTTCGGCAGAATGATTCAGATGAAATATTACCATCTACGTGGCCATATTGTTCCAGATTATGATGATGTATTAAAATGTCTACCTGTGTATACTGCTGTTTCTGTCAAAGTGCAAATAAATACTGCTGCAACCACCAAAAAATAAGGATGGCCTTACGCATTCAAGACAAACAAACATCCACCCACAGAAGACTTTTTGGCATATGGTGTGTGGGTGATAGAAAGCATCTAATTAAGATACTATTATGAAACCTTACACAGAGGATGTTTTGAGGAGCAGTTTCCCTTCAGTGAGAACTGACACTAATCAATGAGTAAACAGGATTCAATTGCCATGCCATCATAAAGACGTGGTGCCATGTGATGTAGGCTATACCACCTTTTATATAGGAACAATGTGGGAACATAATTAACAGGGCGACTTTTAGCACAATTAAAGCAGAGTTATGTTAGAAGTAGTACATAATTAAAGATCTTTTGCACTCTGGAGAAAAATCATCTCTTTCCTCAGTAACTTTCAGCACTCCAGGAAGCAGCGGTCTACTAAAAAAGCAACTAATTAACAGGAGCAGAAATTTCCTGAAGCAAACAAAGCTTTTTTTTTTTCATTCTCTTTTCTTTCCATTTTTTAACAGCAGGTGTTGTCTAATAACCTCAACAAGGATTATAGTCCCAGTAAGACATAGCAGCATGTTAAATTGATAAGCAGAAGTTTAAACTATCACAAAGTACAAGTAACTTGTACTTGTGTTCTGATTGATGTATAAGCAGTATAGCCTGCCAGTGGTCTCAAAGCATCTTTAAGGACACCCTTTAATCCCACCCAAAGTGGCATAAGAGGGCTAATATGATGGCCTATTGTTAAGTTTGTATGAAAGTATGAGACAGAATCTCTGCTGCTGATGTAGAAACAGGCGAATTGAATGGAAGTATAATTTGGAACATAAAAGGGGAACTAGAAAATACTACAAAAGCAAAACTACTGACTCAGTTAATCTTCAGTCTCATCTAGGGTACTACATTCCTGTAGCACCTGCCAGCTCTGTCCACAGTGGCTGTTTGCCCAGCAGGCACGCTAATCAGCCTGATGCAACAGTGCAGAGCAGCTACAGCTGACATGTTGAGTTTCCGTAGATGCTAAAGCGCGTTTTATGTTGCCAAGTGTTTTCTCCCCTCTGATCGTTATGGAACGCTAAGAGCCACTACAAGAGCCAGAGAGCAAAACGTAAACAGACATAAGATTCATAAAGTATTTACAGTCTGAGCACAGAAATCCTCTTAAAGGACTCTTTCTGAATGACAATTTTGCAAGCACGCATGTCTGAGCGGTGTCAAGTCTTTTAGGAAATAAAGTGGCAAAGTAGTGCAGCCTTGAGGGTAAAAAAAAATAAAAATAAAACCTTACTGTTGTTTCAAAGAAGAGAGGACTCAGATTTTTACACATTTTAAAAAAGCTGGTGCAAAAAAATGAGGAGGAAGAATAGTGAGATATGGCCAAAGAAACAATAAAACAACAAAAGAACAAGAACACTTTACAAATGCTTATGAATCAAAGACCACGACAGTTACATCTTATTCTGCCCTCAGTGATTAATGGTTGTGAGGCTACGTCAGGTTGGATTTATGGCGTAAAATACTCCCACCTCATCTGCGTAAATCATGAGCTGGGGCTGCAAAAGGGAACAGCCACATCATTAAGAGCTGGCAATTACAAGTCCTGTACTCGGAATGGCCACTTCTTGGATGTGTGTTTATGCACAGAAAAGTAGCAATCTCGTAACAATACTAACCTCTGTGAGAAGCAGCACACAGCTGCAAGTGAGCAGAAGTGTGCAATGAGAAATAAATCTGCCTCTGAAAGAATTTCTTTCACTATTTCAGCCTTTTCTGGGCGATGACAAGATGATGTTTGAGCCATGTATGCAGTATGACAAAAAGTTGAAACACAAAGCATGTTGTTCTCTAAAACTATATTCACTGGCTGGGTACTGGCATTGCTTGACAGAGTATACTTTTACTGCTGATTGTCATGACAGGTGAAACTCGGAGAAGATGTTCTGGTGAAAATGTAAAAAAAAATATCGTATTTGAAAAATCTTAAACGTCATGTGCTGCTTTGGTTTTGTGAACACATGGTAAAACATAATCTGCTGTTATTGCCAGCAGAAGCACTGGGAATGAAAACTCCTTCCAATATATTGTTTTAAGACACTGCCAGGTTGTAGCAGCGGCTCACGATGGACATTACTAATTATGGCTGTCAGAATAATATACCATCTGATGCTGCTGCGAGTCGCTCATTTATTCTGCACCAGTCAACTGAGGATTGAAGGAAGATCATGAAAAGCAAATGGCTTAAAACAACATTATCCATATAAACATCTCTACAGACTTCTCAGAAGGAGCAAAAGCAATAACACTGATGAGAGAACAGAGACTCTCATTAGATCTCTCTGGTGCTATTCCCATTTTCCTTTCATGGGCCAAAACACTATCACCTTACTCCTTACTGTGCTTTTAATTATTTATTTACTTTTGAAATCTTTGGTCTTTTTCTTTTCCTAATCCGCTGCTAGGGAAAGGAAGTTCTGCGGGAGTCCTCTTAATATAACGAGGACAGCATGTTACACGCAGTCGGAGGGAGTGATTCCCAAGCAGCGCTGCAACTGTGCAGAGACACTACATGAAACAGAAACTCAGTCATTCCTCCTCTCCTCCTTCCTTCCTTCCTTCCTCTCATCTTTTTCTTCCTGCGCTCTGCTGATTAACAGGCTGACCAGATAAACATAGGTTTTTGCTTTGTTGTTCATCTGACAGCCAACATTAGACAGATTTTTATAATCACAGCGCTTCATTTAATGCCTCCATTCCTTCAAATTAAAACACAGAGACCAATTAAATGTCCTGCTGCAAAATGACTAGCGCCCTTTGCCACTTTTGCAGTCCCGGCACAGCTTTGTTCTACCGCTGAACCGAACTGAAATGCCATAATTGTGTAAGCCTCAGTCACATATTAATTCAGCCGCCTCTGGGGGAGCTGAAGTGGGGGCAGTCACTGATAGTGAAGTGATAGTGCAGTCAGCAGATTTAACACCGACTGCAGTCTTTTCCTCCAGACGTGGGTATCTGTGAGTGAAATGGAGGAAAAAGAGAGATGGAAAAAGATACAGATCCTCCCGTCGGTGCAGTGCAGTTTTGTCTATATTTAGAAAGATTAAGTTAACGAGTCTTTGCAAATGAGGTTTTTTCATGCACTC